ACGCGGGCACCCCGAGCCAGCCGGCACGGGTCCTTCTGCTCGTCGTCGTCGTCGTCGTCGTCGTCGTCGTCGTCGTCGTCGTCGTCGTCTTCGTCAATAACGATCTCGAAAATTACGACAAAAAACGATGACAGAAAACGACCACAAACATAACACAAAAAACAACCGAACACGGAATCCAACAACAAAAAAACAATCAGAAAAACGACCGCAATCATAAAATGATAACGACGGGCGACAGCGAGAACGGCAACAGCGGACGATTATAATGAAAACGACGACCACGACAAAGGAAAGGCACGCGACGACGACGACGGACAAACAAAAGACAAGACAGGCTGGAACAGAAAAAGTAGGCTTGGCGACAACGGGTGGGGGCCCGCGTGGCCGAGAGAAAAGCACGGTGTCGACACCATGATGTGGCCAGGGCAGCAGACTACCTCGACAGACCAGCGCGGCAGGCCATCATTTAGTCTGTTCTGTTGCGTTTATGGGTTTCTCTGACGTTCTCGCCAATACGGTCTCTGACGCACGTGGTGGGTAAAAAACGGCGCTTCCCGTTCTTGTCCGGTCAGGTTCCCCAAAATGGCCATTTCGCTCGAGACATCCTCCAAAAATCGAGGTGTTGGAGGCTATGTTCGCAACATCATCTTGAAACCGAGAGGAGCACGGCAGACCAAGACGAGGAGCACGGCAGACCAGGCCCCAAGAGCGCCCTCAAGACGACGGAAAGGAGGACCAGGACGAGGAGCACGGCAGACCAAGACGAGGAACACGGCAGACTATGCCCTAAGAGTGCCCTCAAGACGGCCGAACAATCATCAAACAAACAATGAGTCTAACGTCGTCTTGGAATCGTTTTTGAGGGCATCAGTACGGCCCCCCAAAAACAGAATCGGCCCAAAGATGACCCGCAGAGTGCCCTCAATACGGCCGAACATGAGGATTTCGCTGGGGACGTGTTCAATAGATTAAGAGTGTATCAGCACCGTCTGTTGCAACAGCGCTGTGCTGGTCTGCCGTTTTCCTGTGGTCAGCTGTGCTGGTCTGCCGTGCTCCTGCGGTCTGCCGTTCTGGTCTGCCGTTTTGGTCCGCCGTGCTCCTGTGGTCTGCCTTCCTGGTCTGCCGTGCTGCTGCCGTCTGTCGTGTTGCTGCGCTGTGCCGTGTAAGCTGATAAACCGGTCAGACCGATGAAAAAAACGAGAGTCGGGTTACAACGGCTACGCAGATTTAAACTGCTAGTCCAAAGGCTCTCCAGAGGACCCCAACATCTCCCAAGCACACCCCGAGAAGTCCATCATCATCATCATCATCATCATCATCATCATCATCATCATCATCATCATCATCATCATTATCATCATCATCATCATCATCATCATCATCATCATCATCATCATCATCATCATCATCATACGCATGCCCAGGACCACGATCATCATCGTCATCATCATCCACACCATCAGCATCATCATCACCATCGCCACCATCACCATAAGTATAATCATCATTCGTATCATCATCGTCATCCTCATCGTCATCGTCATCGTAATCATCATTATCATCATCACCACCATCATCACCATACTCATACTCATACTCATCATCATCCTCCTCCTCATCTTCATCATTATTATCATCATCGTACGCATCACCATCACCATCAGCAGCAACATGTTCATCACCAACAACAGCAGCGTCAGGCCAGAGGCCCGCCAGAGCGCCCAAAACGCCCCAAGAGACCCCCAAGAAGCCCCCCAGGGGCTCCAAAGAGGCGGCCAGAAGTCCCCCAGAACGCGCGAAAAGGCTCCAGGAGTTCCCTGAGAGCTTCATATCGCCCCATAGAGCCCCCGAAGGCCCCCCCCGGGACTCCCCCAAGAGGCCCCCGAGAGGCCAGAGGCTACGACAGCCCCAAGAGCGTCCAAGATACCTCCAAGACGGCGCCGAAGCCAGGAAACGCAACAGGGATGTTCTCTGACGTTCTCGCCAATACGGTCTCTGACGCACGTGGTGGATAAAAAACTGCGCTTCCCGTTCTTGTCCGGTCAGGTTCCGGAAAATTGGCCGTTTCGCTCGGGACGTCCTCAAAAAATCGGCTCCGGAGGGGACTCCGAAGCAGCATTATCTTGGAATCGCTCCCGGAGGGCCTCCAAACGGCCCAAGAAAGCCCCCGAAGGCCCCCCAGAGGACCCCCAGAGCGCCCCAAGAGACCCCCAAGAGGCCCCCAAGGGGCGGCCAGAGGCCCGCCAGAGCGCCCAAAACGCCCCAAGAGACCCCCAAGAAGCCCCCCAGGGGCTCCAAAGAGGCGGCCAGAAGTCCCCCAGAACGCGCGAAAAGGCTCCAGGAGTTCCCTGAGAGCTTCATATCGCCCCATAGAGCCCCCGAAGGCCCCCCCCGGGACTCCCCCAAGAGGCCCCCGAGAGGCCAGAGGCTACGACAGCCCCAAGAGCGTCCAAGATACCTCCAAGACGGCGCCGAAGCCAGGAAACGCAACAGGGATGTTCTCTGACGTTCTCGCCAATACGGTCTCTGACGCACGTGGTGGATAAAAAACTGCGCTTCCCGTTCTTGTCCGGTCAGGTTCCGGAAAATGGCCGTTTCGCTCGAGACATCCTCGAAAAATCGGCTCCGGAGGGGACTCCGAACCGGCATTATCTTGGAGTCGCTCCCGGAGGGCCTCAAAACTGCCCAAGAGAGCTCCCAAAGGCCCCCCAGGGGACCCCCAAAACGGCCCAAGAGACCCCCAAGAGGCCCTCAAGAGGCGCCCAGAGGCTCCCCCGAGCGCGCGAAGAGGCCCCGGGACTGGCCAAGAGAGCCCCAAGACGGTCCAAGAGAACGCCAAGACACCCCAAGAGAGCCCCCACAGACCCTCGAGAGACGCCTGAGTCCAAGAGGGTCACAGAAGCCTCCAAGAGGCTCCCAAAATGCTCCCCACGGGCCCCAATCAGGCCCCCAGAGCCCCACGACAGTCCAAGATAACGCCAAGACAGTCCAAGATAACGCCAAGACGTCGACGTCGTGTTCGAATCGCTCTTAGAGTGTTTTCCAACGGCCCAAGGGAGGGAGGCCCAAAAGACGCCCCGGAGAGCCCCAGGAGCGCCCAAGAGCGCCCCAAGAAGACCCCCAGAGACCCCCAAGAGCGCTCTAGGAGCCACCCACACAGCTCACAAGAACCCCAAGACGGCCCAAGAAGGGCCAAGAAGGCCCCAAGAGACTCCCGGGAGCGCCCCAGGAGGCCCCCAGCGCCGAGACGGCCTAAGAAAGCTCCCACAGAACCCCACGACGCGCCCAGACAGCCCAAGAAGACCCCAGAAGCCCAAAAGAGGACCCTAGGGGCCCCCAAGAAACCCCCAACAGGCCCAAAGAGAACCCCGCGCGGCGCCAGGAGCAACGTCTTTCTCCAATTGCCTCGTACTGTCCTCTGTCGTCGTCGTCGTCGTCGTCGTCGTCGTCGCCCTCCGCATTCGTCCTCGTACTCGCCCTCGTTCTCTTCGTCATCGTCCTTGTGCTTCTCTTCCTCCTCGTTGTCCTCATGCTCCTCCGCGCTATCCTCACGTTCGCCACGTCGTCCTCGTCATCGACTCCTCGTTGTCCTCGCCTTCCTTTTCTTCTTCGCCTAATACGCCCAATAGACTAAAGCGGCGCTTCCCGTTCTTGTCCGATCAGGTTTGGACGGGTTTAAGATTGCCGCCTCCCCCTTCGGAGGGCGGGCGATCACGGGAAGTTTGGCCAATTTCTATGTTCATTTCCCTCTCTCTTTCTCTCTATATTTCTCTCTCTCCCGTGCCACGGCAACGGCTCCGTGTAGGGGCGCGCTAATGCCGCGGGCTGGCCGCCGGCGCGCTGTTCCACCCAGACCCCCCCCGTCGCAGAAGCACAGCGAGAGGCTTTTGGCAACGTTCGGCCTCCAGGGGGGGGGGGCCGGGGGCCCTTACCAGGCCAAGGGGCCGTCAACAGACGGCTCGGGACGAAACACTGATCCCGTGGAGGGGTCCAGACCTCCTGGGGCCAACGTTGTGAGAAATGACGGCGTCGGGTGCGCCTTTTGCCCGCCTCGGTGCAGCTGCGGGGCGAACGAGCACAAACAAGTCCATCCCTTCCAGAACGCGAGCGGACCCACAGGGAGCGAGCGGCGGAGTCGGTGCTTCAGGCAGGCCTGGGGTAAGGAGAAACCGTGCCAGAGTTTCCTGGGCGCACTCTGCAAGAGCCGCGACACGGGATATCTCAAGGTCACCCCCCACAGGCGCGAAGAGCAGCGCGCTTCGCTCGTCACGGTCTGGGCCGGAGAGGCGCCCTTCTCGGGGGGACGGTCTCGAGGGCGCGAAAATACATGCGCGTCGCGCATCGCGGGGCGTGGTGCGCGATGCTAGGCGACCTGGGGCCCCCCCGACGGCGGAGAGGTTACACAAGAGGTTCGCATGATGGATCTGCTTGACACGTCCTCACCTGAAGGCCCTGTCTGTTGCAGTGGGGTCGTCGGTTCCAGTCCTCAGCTGCAATCTTTGGCCTGCTTGTCTGCGAGCGCTCATCTTCGTGTGCAGGGGCAGCGCTTGTTGCACTTGGCAGCTGCGCTTTCTTCCGGAGCCGTATCTTCTCCTCCCATGTTTTTGTTTAGTCGCAGCGCTGGCGGACGCACAGAGCGGTCGAAGCCTCCGCGGGGACGCCGCAAGGCGAATCGCAGACAAGCGGGCGGGAGGCAGAAGGGGCTGCTGCTCTTTCCAATCACGGGGCCCAGGGGCACACGGCGCCCTAGCCGCTCGCTGAGCATTCCCCCCCCGTGCCACTGCGCCTCTGATGTGCCCAGCGCGCGCTCGCGCTCTCTCCCCCTCGCTCTATCTCCACCTATCTCTTGGTCCTTCGTTTGTTCTTCCTCTCTCTCTCTGTCTCTCTCTCTCCCGCTCTGTCTGTGTCTCTCTCCCTCTCTCGCCCTGTCTCTTCGCATGTCTCGTCTGCGTTTGTGGATGCTCGCTGCGCGAAGTGGAGCCAAACTCTTCTTCCAGGTGGCCGCTGCGGCAGCCTGTCGGCGATGGTGCTCGGCGTCTGCCACAAGCTCCGGCCATTGGGATCCCGAAGCATGTTCGCCGCTCGCGACTCGCCGTGGAGAGAAAAGAAGAGGTCCTGGACGGTTTGCCGCAGTTGTTTCTGGCTTTTCCGCGCTCCGGGCGCTGTCCTGGGCCCCAGGGCCGGCAAGAGCGGCTCGGCAGGAAGCACGTGTCCTGAGGAGGCCGAGGCCCTGATCAGTCGTGCAGTACCTGCGCGGGAGGGGGCCGACTTTCGAATACGAAATTCGGAGGTTGATAGACCTCCTACCCTGATACGTCGATGCGTGAATTGTCCGTTTTCAGTTCTCGAGAGGGCGCCGCGGCCGTCATTTTCCAGGCTTGCGCCCGCCAGGCTTGGGCCCGAGGTCGTTTTCACTAAGCCACGTTTTACTGAAGGGGGTTCCGTCCATCCCCGAATGACGACGTGCGCATAAACTTTAGGAGCTCGTCGCAGATTTGTTGGTTCGGCGCTGTGCCCCCCGCAGCAACGCCTCCGGCGCTGCCACCGGCGCGCGGAGGGCACCTCGGGAGAGGGGGCCCAGCGCCGGTCCAAGAGCTCCGCGCAGAATTCCGAAAGTTTAAGCTCATGCAGTTGTTCTCTTTCCTCGTGGGGGGGCGCTGAGAGCGGCCAGGCGCCGGCCCCAGAAGTCCGCGCGCGCCTCCAAAAGTTTCTGCTTGTGCCCTTGTGCTCTTCCTTGGGACGCACGGGGGCATACTGGTACTGCATGTCCTCCTTGGAGGCGCGCGCCCGACCCGAACATATACACCCCCAGGACGAAAGGTTTGTTCCTCTTGGGCCCAGAACGACGGCTTGAAAACTTGAGCAGATGCGCATGGCATAACCGCCGTCGGATCCCGTGAAGCCTCTACACTCAGGAGTGGAGGGGGAGGGGGGGGAGGTTTGTGAGGGGAGAAGGATGAGCAGGAGGGAATGAAGGAGAAGGAGGTGGAGTAGCGTAGTGTGGAGAAGCTTGTTGAATTCGGGGGAGATGGACTGCGGGCGCCGTGGACGAAGCCCACCGCCGAGCCAGCGAGCGGGAGAGTCACAGTAATCGAGAGAGAGAGAGAGAGAGAAATAGTTGGAGGAGGAGGAGGACCAGTGTAAACTCAAGATGCACCAATAATGTTGCAGTGAACCCTCCCTCCTTCCGAGTTTCCTCATAGGTGCCTAGACGAAGTTATTTACATTGCGGGATGCGGCTCATTAGAAGACAAACACTTGAGAATCTTCAATCGTGCCAAGACGCAGTTCCTTCGACTTCAACGTCCCGGATCAACGCAATTACTGCGTCCTGAAAATTTGAGTCGTGCCAGAACACAGTTCTTGAGACTTTGAACACCGCATTTCTGTGCGACTGTTGCGTCCTCACAATTCTACTTCGCTCCAGAACACCATTCCTGGGACTTCCACCATGTGGATCCTTGCAACTGTTGTAATCCTTTCAAATATATTCGTGCGGCACGAAGGCCAGGCGAGAGCCACATTTCGAAGACGGCCCGCCCTCCATCCGTGAACCTGTTGCTAGCCTTTACGACGAATGCGCGCGGCGCCAAGGCGACAGCCACCTTTCGAAAACGGCCTGCCATCCATTCATGCAGTTGCTGCAAATTTCAAGCTTCAGGATTATGAGTGGCGATGAACTGTCCGGCGACGCGCCGGGCCAACCCTACGGACACATTTAGGGGTGCGGGTGCGTCAGGGAGGAGTTGTTCAAAAGGAATAGGGATGGAGGAGGAGGAGGAGGAGGAGGAGGAGGAGGAGGAGGAGGACCAGTGTAAACCCAAGACGCATCCACGGTGTTAGAATACCCCCCTCCCTCCAAGCTCCCTCTTCATAGGTCTCTACGAGACTTCATTCCCACTGAGGGAAGTGACCTGTTGGAAGACAGCCGTGCGAAAATCCGGAAGCGTGCCAAAGCACCAGTATCAGGATTTCAACGCCACGTTTCTACCTGTCTGCTGCTTCTTGACTATCCTGAATCGCACTAGCACGCTAGAACACCATTCCTGGAACATCAATTCCGCGAATCTGGATAAGTGTTGCGCCTTGACAGTCCCGAGTCGATCTGGGGCGCTTCCGTTGCTGCCGGAAACGCGCGATGGCGGTAATGACTGGCTACGACGGCGAGCGGTGAGGATGATGATGAGGATTGGAAATGGAGGAAACAGAGTAGGAGGATGAGGAGGAGGAGGAGGAGGAGGAGGAGGAGGAGGAGGAGGAGGATCATGATGAGGTGGAGGGGTGTGTGTGGTGGGTGGGCAGGGGTAACAGGATGCTGGGGATGAGGAGGATCAGGAGGAAGCGGGAAGTGGAAGAGGGGGAGGGGGAGAAGGAGGAGCATGACGAGGTTGACGAGGATGAGGAGATTTTCGGCGATTCTAGGAGATGTCCAGCGGTTGTTGGAAAACTTTTTCGGGGCCAGGTGTTGGCCCTCTTTGGATTGACGCCTCGCCGGTTTGGCGTACTGTTTGAAAAACTGTGTGCTAGAGCTGTCAGCGTGCGTGTTGGATGCATTTGTTTGAAACTCTTGGGGGGCTGTAGTTAGGGGGCTTCAGGGGGCCTCTTCGGGGCCAGTTTGAAGCGTCTTGAAGCCTCAGGCCTTTTGGGGGCCTCTGGGCGCCTGCTGGGGGTTTATTGGGCCGTCTTCGGCACTCCTTCCGTCGTCTTGGCGCCCTCTCAGGCACCTCTTGGGCCCGTCCTGGGGCCCTCTTGGGCCTTTCCGGGGGCCTCCCGGGCCATATTGGGCCTCTCTTGGGCCGTTTTGGAACCCTCTTGGCGGTTTCTTGGGCCGTTTTGGTGCTCTCTTGGGGCGTCTGCGACGCTCTGAGTGCCCAAGAGGCGAATAAGCTGAAATTGTACATGTTCCATAGGGAATGGGGCATGTTTTGTTTCTTTGGGCCTTTTTGGGGGAGGCTTTTTTTAAGGGTTTCTGAGGGCATCGTGGAGGCTTCTGGAGCCGTCTTGGGGACATCTTGGGCGTCTTATAGCGATCGTTCGGCGACTCGGGGCCCTTTTGGCCCATGCTGGGGCCCTCCTGGACCTGGGCGAGGGGGCCATCCCAGAGTGAGCTGGACCTTTGATTCTGCCCCGGGGGTTATTCAATCGCCCCCCCCCCCCCCCGGATGAGCCACCCTGGCACCCACCCCCCAGTAGAGCTGAAACTCAGGAATTGATGCTTAGGCTGTTCTGAAGGTTTTTGAAACTCACACGCCGGATCGGCGGATTTCTGGTACGTTAACGCTGGGAACCCGTGAAACCAAAACTGATGTTTGCAACGAGTGTGCGTGGCGCTAGGGCGAGAGCCACATTTTGAAAAGGACCGTCGTTATTCCGTGAAGCCTTGGTAAATGTTCAAACGAGTACGCGCGGCTCTAATGCGAGAGCCGCTTTTTGAAACCATCCAATTTAAATCCGTAAACATCTTTTTAGTTTGCTTGAAAATCGAATGTGCGTGGCGCCCACGCGAGAACCACATTCTGAAAACCACCCGCCTTCCATTTGTTGAAATGCTGCCACTCTCGAGGTCTCAGGCTCATAAGTGGTAAGGATGCCTCAGTCGAACCGGCCGGCCCGCCCTTCCGACTGGCCCCGGGGTGCGACAGGGATGATGTATTCATACGGAAAAGTAATGGAGGAAACGGATGAGGAGGGGGAGGAGGAGGAGGAAAAGAATGATGATGATGATGATGATGATGATGATGATGATGATGGTGATGGTGATGATGATGATGATGATGGTGGTGATGATGATGATGATGATGATGATGATGATGATGATAATGATGATGATGATGATGATGATGATGATGATGATGATGTGATGATGATGATGGATGATGATGATGATGATGATGATGATGATGATGATGATGAGGAGGAGGAGGAGGAGGAGGAGGAGGAGGAGGAGGAGAAATAAGGAGGAGGAAGAGGAGGAGGGGGAGGAGGACGAGGAGGAGGATGATGAGCAGGAGGAGGAGGAGGAGGAGGACGACGAGGAGGAGGAGGAGGAGGAGGAGGGGAGGGCGAGGACCAGGAGGAGGCAGTGGAGGATGTGGAGGAGGAGGACGGCGACCGACGTTGCGCACGACACGAAGGGCGAGGGCGCGGGAACCCCTCCCGTCGCCGCGCTGTGGGCGGCGTGGCCGCCGCCCCCCGCCCCACCCCTGCGGTGCCCAGGCCGACAGACCGCGCGGCGCCGATGGCGGAGCCGCCGCCCGCCGCCCCCATCGCCTGGCCCGCGCCCCCGCCCCCCCGGGCCCCCCGCGCGCCTCCGCGTCGCTGTGGGCTCCGCCCGGGCGCCCGCCGTCGGTCGCTGCGGGCCTCCGCCTCGCTGCCCCCTCGAGGTGCGGACGCTGCAGTTCTGTGTCACGCTGGGCGCCTTCTGGCCCGGTCTTTGTGGGGAGTCGCTGCCGGCGGTCGTCGTCGTCGTCGTCGTCGCGGTCCTGGCCGGTCGCCGTCGTCGTCGTTGTCGTAGCCGCTGGTCGTCGTCGTTCTCGTCGTCGTGGCCTTTTATCTGTACTCCTATTGTTGCTAGCGCTGCTACTACTACACTCATTACTGCTAGTGCTGGGCCATGCGCGCGCCCGCCACGTTACCAGAACCCCTCCATGGCGACCAGACCCCACCCACCCCTCCTCAAGGGAGCAAAACCACCAGGACACGACAGTTGACGTTTACTAGACGGCTCTGGGCGTTTACTAAGAGCCCTGCCTTGTTCGATTCCTTCTCAGGGTGCGTTTGCTAAGCGGACTGACTTGTCGAGGTGTTTATTACGGGAGTGTTTTTGTCTGCTCTCTACCTCTCCCCTTGTAACGGATGTTACGGGGGATAATCGAAGAACGCTCTTGTTCCCCAAACAGCTTGCTGAACGGGGTGCTGTTATGATAGAAGCTAACTCCGGCCGAGGGAAGTCGGAGCAGACACATCCTCACAAAAATTTGATGGTCCGGGCCGTTTCGCTTGAGACATCCTCACAACTCTCGTTTCTGAGTTGGCTGGGATTGGCCGTTTCGCCTGAGACATCCTCGAAAAGTTGCGCTCCGGGACGCCGCGCGAGAGGTGGTCCGGGCCGTTTCGCTTGAGACATTCTCGAAACTCTGAGCCCCGAGGTGCCGTGCGAGAGGTGGTCCGGGCCGTTTCGCCTGAGACCTCTTTTAACTCTGAGCTCTGAGATGCCCTGCGCGAGGTGCGTCCGGCCCGTTTCGCCTGAGACATCCTCGAAACTCTGACCTCGGAGATGCCGCGCGAGAGGTGGTCCGGCCCGTTTCGCCTGAGACATCCTCAAACTTCTGAGCTTTGAGATGCACTGCGCGAGGTGGTCCGGCCCGTCTCGCCTGAGACATCCTCGCAACTCTGAGCTCTGAGATGCCGTGCGCGAGGTGGTCCGGCCTGTTTCGCACAAGACATTCTCGCAACTCTGAGCTCCCAGATGCCGCGCAAGAGGTGGTCCAGCCTGGGGGCCCAGAAGACCACATGTTACATATCCTCCCTGGGACCCTGGGAGCCCGCCTGAGACATCCTCGAACTTCTCAGCTCTGAGATGCCCTGCGCGAGGTGGTCCGGCTCGTCTCGCCTGAGACCTCCTCGCACTTCTGAGCTCTGAGATGCCGTGCGCAAGGTGGTCCGGCCTGTTTCGCACAAGACATTCTCGCAACTCTGAGCTCCCAGATGCCGCGCAAGAGGTGGTCCAGCCTGGGGGCCCAGAAGACCACATGTTACATATCCTCCCTGGGACCCTGGCAGCCCCAGGAGGCCGCAGAGAGCTTCAGGAGGCCGCAGGACGCCCAGGACAGGCCCCAGCGGTCCCCAGAAGATTCCCAGGAGGCTCCCAGGAGGCCCCAGGAGGCTCCCTATCAGAACGTGCCAAGTTAATACACATCCGGTGTCGATTCGTTGATTTTTCCTGCTCTTGTGCCCCCATTTTGAGAGGCCCAAGCGGCCACAGGTTAGATATCCCCCCTGGGAGCCCCAAGAGGCTTCAGGAAGCCCCAGGTGGAGTTCAGGAGGCCACAGGACGCCCAGGAGGACGCCCCAGGAGGTCACCAGGATGCCCCAAGAGGCACCAGGAGGCCCCCGCAACTCGGAGCTCTGAGACGCCGCGCTCGAGGTGGTCCGGCCCGTTTCGCCTGAGACTTCCTCGCAGCACGTTTCGCCCGAGACACCGGCCAGTCTCGCCTGAGACATCCTTGCAACTCTGAGCTCTGAGATGCCGTGCGCAAGTTGGTCCGGCCCGTTTCGCACAAGACATTCTCGCAACTCTGAGCTCCCAGATGCCGCGCAAGAGGTGGTCCAGCCTGGGGGCCCAGAAGACCACATGTTACATATCCCCTCTGGAACCCTGGCAGCCCCAGGAGTCCCCAGAGAGCTTCAGGAGGCCGCAGGACGCCCAGGACACGCCCCAGGGGTCCGCAGGAGATTCCCAGGAGGCTCCCAGGAGGCCCCAGGAGGCCCCCTATCAGAACGTGTCCAGTTAATACACATCCGGTGACGATTCGTTGATTTTTCCTGCTCTTGTGGCCCCCCCTCCATTTTGGGGGGCCCCGACGGCCACATGCTAGATATCCCCCCCTGGGAGCACCAGGAGGCTTCAGGAAGCCCCAGGTGGGGTCCAGGAGGCCACAGGAGGCCCATGAGGAAGCCGCAGGAGGTCACTAGGAGGCCCCAAGAGGCACCAGGAGGCCCCCGCAACTCGGAGCTCTGAGACGCCGCGCTCGAGGTGGTCCGGCCCGTTTCGCCTGAGACTTCCTCGCAGCACGTTTCGCCCGAGACATCGTCGCAACTCTGGGGTCCGAGATGCCGCGCGCGAGGTGGTCTAGCCCGTTTCGCCTGAGACATCCTCGCAATTCTGGCCTCCGAGATGCCCTGCGCCAGGTGGTCCAGCCCGTCCGGCCCGTTTCGCAGAAGACATTCTCGCACTTCTGAGCTCTCAGATGTTGCGAGAGGTGGTCCAGCCTGGGGGCCCAGAAGACCACATGTCACATATCCCCCCTGGGACCCTGGCAGCCCCAGGAGGCCCCAGAGAGCTTCAGGAGGCCGCAGGACGCCCAGGACAGGCCCCAGGGGTCCGCAGGAGATTCCCAGGAGGCTCCCAGGAGGCCCCAGGAGGCCCCCTATCAGAACGTGTCCAGTTAATACACATCCGGTGACGATTCGTTGATTTTTCCTGCTCTTGTGGCCCCCTCCCCATTTTGGGGGGCCCCGACGGCCACATATTAGATATCCCCCCCTGGGAGCCCCAAGAGGTTTCAGGAAGCCCCAGGTGGGGTCCAGGAGGCCACAGGAGGCCCATGAGGAAGCCCCAGGAGGTCACCAGGAGGCCCCAGGAGGCACCAGGAGGCCCCCGCAACTCCGAGCTCTGAGACGCCGCGCTCGGTCTGGCCCGTTTCGCCTGAGACTTCCTCGCAGCACGTTTCGCCCGATACATCGTCGCAACTCTGGGGTCCGAAATGCCGCGCGCGAGGTGGTCCAGCCCGTTTCGCCTGAGACATCCTCGCAACTCTGGGCTCCGAGATGCCCTGCGCCAGGTGGTCCAGCCCATCTCGCCTGAGACCTCCTCGCAACTCTGAGCTCTGAGATGCCGTGCGCAAGGTGGTCGGCCCGTTTCGCACAAGACATTCTCGCACTTCTGAGCTCTCAGATGCTGCGCAAGAGGTGGTCCAGCCTGGGGGCCCAGAAGACCACATGTTACATATCCCCCCTGGGACCCTGGCAGCCCCAGGAGGCCCCAGAGAGCTTCAGGAGGCCGCAGGACGCCCAGGACAGGCCCCAGGGGTCCGCAGGAGATTCCCAGGAGGCCCCAGGAGGCCCCAGGAGGCCCCCTATCAGAACGTGTCCAGCTAATACACATCCGGTGACGATTCGTTGATTTTCCTACTCTTGTGCTCCTCCCCCTCCCCATTTTGGGGGGCCCCGACGGCCACATGTTAGATATCCCCCCCTGGGAGCCCCAAGAGGCTTCAGGAAGCCCCAGGTGGGGTCCAGGAGGCCACAGGAGGCCCATGAGGAAGCCCCAGGAGGTCACCAGGAGGCCCCAGGAGGCCCCAGGAGGCCCCCGCAACTCGGAGCTCTGAGACGCCGCGCTCGAGGTGATCCGTGGTCCAGCCCGTTACGCCCGAGACATCGTCGCAACTCTGGGCTCCGAGATGCCGTTCGGGATGAAGAGGAGGTGGAGGAGGAGGAGGAGGAGGAGGAGGAGGAGGAGGAGGCATGTTTTAACATGCCATGCCAGCCCGCACTGGACGGGCACGCAATCGACCTTGGAAACCGCAGTGGGTCTAAAAACCCTGTTTGGGGATACTCCGGCTATACTTTTTTGGGGGCGCTCCTTCTCCTCCTCCCCCTCCTCCTCCTCCTCCTCCTCTTCCCTCTCCTCCCTCTCGTGATCGCGACTGGCATCCTCCCGGAGGATGCCAGTCCGGGATCGTGACTGGCATCCTCCGCTCTCGTTCGGCCGCCCGGACCCCGAGTCAGATGGCCATTCGTTTCCTGGACCCGAAGCAGTCGAAGGTGGAGGCTCAGGAGTCATCGAGCGAAGAACAGGATAAAATAAACTTACCCCTACGGTGCCACCGTAAGGGTGTAAACTTTCCAGCCGCCCTGGGACAGGCGCCCCCGACAGCGAAAAAGTTTATTTTATATCGTTCTTCGCCCGTTCAAGGAGGCTGCCACATGAGGAAACCAGGGCGTTCTGCAGAAATCAGGCGTGCGCGCAGGATTCGGGGGCTCTTGCAGGTTTCTGTGGGCTCGGATTTTCCTTCAGTCTGTTCTCTCCTGGTTGTCCCACCTCCAGAGACACCCGGACTCGTTATTATATCAGTGTTTTCTGGAACAGGGAGCGGACTGGGTAGCCAGCCAGCGCCGCCAATGGATTTCCCAAAACAGCTGTAGCAGTAAGTTTTTCACTCGTAGTGCGAGGGGCAGGGTGATCCGCTGGGACAACGGGTGGACTAAGACGTTCGACCTCGGCGGCTCCAGAGATTCCCAGACCTTGCATGCCCTCTCCTTCCGCCTCCTGTGTCGCCTCGGTGGCAAGGATAAGCTTCCAGCTTTCGTTCTCATGGGGCAGTCAGGGATCCGCTTTGAGGAGCGCCTCGCTTACTCACTCCCTCTCCTACCTATGGTAGTGGTGGTGGAAAGTCGGGCCATCATAGACGGGGGTATCGTTGTAGCGAGTTGGCCACCGTGCAAGAGGGGGGGAAGGAGGAAGAGCGGGCGGCCGCGGGGAGGCGGGAAAAAGGGAAGGCTGCGTGAACATACATTTTTGGAGCTTTGCGAGGATGTCTTGGATCTGAGCTGGCCGCTCCCAATCCTGGCGCGCGGAGCGCGCCGGAAGCCCCGAGGCGGCGCCGGAGGCGCTGCCAGAGGGGCCCACTGCGGATCCAAGAACTCCGCGCGGAGATTTGACAGTTTATGCTTAGGCCGATTCTTCTTCTCCAGGGCCCTTGATCTTCGATGCCGTCGGAGCCTCAGGCCCTATCTTTCTACGGCATTTTCCGAGCCGGATCGATCTGTGATAGTCCCGGGGTCGGAAACTGGGCGAAAACGCCCAGTGGGAAACAACCATTCAACGTCCAGATCTATGGTACCCCCGCTTCGCAGCAACAAACCCCCGAACCCTTGATCTCCGACGTCGTCGACGTCGACGATGCGAGGGTTCTGGGCTCCAGATCCCTTCATCCCGAGTCAAACATGGCCAAACATTTGCCGTCGTGATTCTTCTGGGTGTTCGACGTCCTCGACGTCGGCAACACGAGGGCGCTCTGGTCCAGATCTCCCATCTAGGAGGCCTACCAAGAGAGGACAAGCAACTTCGACTTCCATAATTGGCGTTTTCTAAACGTCCCTGGGCGTTAATCACCAGAGCAGCCCTATCAAACTTGATTCCTTCCCTGGGTGCGGTTACAGAAAAGCCTCGCTTGTCTGATTGTGAGGACCGCTTGTCTGCCCTCCAAAGTCGAAGCCGACTCGTAGGCCCACCCTGCCAAATCAATGGTACCCTTGTGTCCTCTGACTCGCGACCCGCAGTCTCGCGTGTCCCTTGGGAGAAAGAGGGGGAGGAGGATTCGGAGGAGGAGGAAGACCAGCCCACCCCGACCTCACTCTGCCTGGGCCCCAGCGGGCCGCGCGGCGAAGGAGCTCTCCGACGCGGCGCTCGGCGACCAGTGGCTGGGCCACCCGCGCGGGGATCCGCGCGCGGCCTTCGTGCTGCAGCGCGGCGCTCCGGCGCGGTGCGGCCCCCCTCCGTGGGGGGGGGGGACGAAGCCACCACGGCGAGGGCAGTCCTCGTCCCCGTCCCCGTCCTCGTGTACTCGTCGTCATCGTCTTCCTCGTCCCCGTCCGCGTCCTCGTCTCGTCCCTGACGTCGCCGTCGTCGTCGTCGTCCTCGTCCTCGTTCTCGTCCTCGTCCTCGTCGTCGTCGTCGTCGTCGCCAAGGGCTTCGAAGGGCCTCCAGACGCCTCCAGAGGTCTCTGGAAACCTTGGGCTTCCGTAGACCTCTGTAGACTGGCGCTTGCAGGCTACTTGAACGTTCGTCGTCGTGCGTCGTCGTGTCCGAGGGCCTCGCTGGGCCTGCAGACGCTTGTTGAGGTTTCTGGAAACCTCCTCAGGCCTCTGGAGACCTCTCTTTGTAGACCTTCAGAGGCGTTCGTCGTCGTCCTCGTCGTCGTCCTCGTCCATGTTCTCGTCCTCTTCGTCGTTCCCGTCCCCGTCCCCGTCCCCATCCCCGTCTCCATCCCCGTCCCCATCGTCGTCGTCGTCGTCGTCGATGTGGTCGTCGTCTTCGTCGTCGTCGTCGTCCGGCGCTCGGGCGCCCTCGTCGTCCAGCAAATCAGCACAGAAGCATGCTCAACGGAGGGTGTGGGTGAAACAAACACTGTGGAGCTCCACGTATGCACTGTGCAGTACATAGGCGATGTGATGCACGCGGCTGCGGCGGTGCATAGTGTGCTGCACTGCGCACCGTGGTGCTTGCAATGATGCGCACAGGCGCTGTAGCGCCGGAGTCACACGGAGGGGGGGCGGGAGGCGTTACGTTATGCCCTCCCCCCATAACGCCCGTCATGGCCGCGAGTAAAAGATATGTTTTTTTTGTTGGTGGGGAGCCGACAGGGGGTATATCACGGGCTCGTTCGCGCCCAGATTTTGGGGATGTTTTCGGCGGCTCGCTTGTGTTAAGGGTCGACGTGCTCCTTTTCACGGCCCCAAGGCCGTCGCCTTGTAACAGGCAGGGCAGCTGGGCACCCCAAGCAGGTGCCGCCAAGGGGTATATCACGCGCCCCTTCGCGCCCAGATTGTGGAGATGGTCTCGAGCGAGGCGCCTGTTTTTGAAGTTCGAAGTGACCCCCTTGAGAGTCCCACAATCATCATCGCGATGTAGCAGGCATGGCACTTGGGCACCCCAATCGGAATCACGACCCCGTTCGCGTCCAGATTCTGGGGATGTCTCGGCCCAGCCAGCGTCTGAGATCTATTGTACATGAGTCACATTCGGGGGTTCCCGCGTCGACTCATATGTTGTGTGGCTCCACCTTTTGCAACCACATGTGAACCCGACCCCCGCAGCCCAAAGACTTGGACCAGTGGGGATTCGCCAGTGGGGGTTCACTTCAGTCGTGTCCGCTCGCTGATTCGGAACTCCCATTGGTGAAGCCCTAAGTCTTCCAAACGCTTCAGCAGGCGCATCAAGCAAGACACCTGTCAGCGGGCAGGTTTCCCGCAGGCCCTGCGGCACCCTCAGGGAGCCCGACCGTCGACGACCAGTGTGATCCCAGATTCCTGGGAGTCAGAGTTTTTTCCGTCTGCTTCTGCTGTGTGTGCCCGTGGCCTCCACCCCTGAGGGAGTGGTGAGGAGGGACGGGGTGAAGGTGAGGGGGGAGAACTCCTAGGGGACTCCTAGCCCTCTTCCCCCATACTCCTCGTGGTTGTCCTCCTCCTGATGATCAAACTTAGTAATCCTGCTGCCCCCCCGTCCTCTTTCTGTTCCTCTCCCTTCTTGCTCCTCGTCGATCATGCTAATCGTCCTCACCATTCTCACCATTCGCCCTCCCGGCCGCCGCGGCCAGGGAGGGGGTGGGCCCGCGACACAGGCAGACCACGACGTGGACCACGAGCCGATTCGAGAGGCACTCGCGGCAGGCGGGCCCCGCCGCCGCAGCCCAGCCCTGCCGCAGCCCCCCTCCCCCGCCGGGGGGGGCGAGGAGGCACCACCTTCCTCCACCCTCCTCGATCCTCTCCTCCCCCATCCCCTCCGCCACCAACGTCCTTCTCCGTCCTCAGCCCCTCCTCCTCCAGCCGTTCCTCCTCCAGCCTGTCCTCCTTCATCCTCTCCTCCTCGTCCTCCTGCTCCTCCTCCTCCTCCTCCTCCTCCTCCTCCTCCTCCTCCTCCTCCTCCTCCTCCTGCGCACTGACGGCCGCGCGGCGGTCTGTCCGCCGTAGCCGCAGCGCGCGCCCGCGCCCGCGGCCGCGCGCCTTGGGCGCGCCCAGATTTGTACCGAGCACGCGCATCACGACCTATTTCCCGCCCTCCAACTCAGCGGGGTGGCCGAGGCAGAAGGTGGGAGCCTCGGGAAACAGCCTCTGGACCCAAGACCGTGCCAAGGAACAGGAAGGACTCCAAGGAAGCCTCGTTGGGCCACGAGGAGGGGGAAAGGGGGCGGGGCCCGAGGGGCCGAAGGACAAAATCCCAAAGCCTAGGTCATGTAGCCCCCCCGACCACCACCACCATCGTTGAAGACGATCTCCATCTCGTGCATTCGACGCGGAGTTGATGGTGGGGGGGCCAAATTATAGTGCACGAGTGTTGCACCCCCCCAACAGGAGAGAGCCAGGCGGCATACATAAAGAGAGAGAGAGGAAGTAACGGGGGCGGCCCACAACTACTACGAGGTGGCCGAGCCCCCAGGGAACCCGAGGGAGGGACAAGGGTCGAGGGCCACCAGGGCTCAAGAGGACAGGGGGAGGCAAGGGAACCTGGGGTTGCTCGGCCCCCTACTAGCGGTCCCCGCGGGGCCAGGTTTCAGACGTAGAGGTCGGCCTCATCCCCCTCGCGGCCGCCTGCGCCCCCCTAGGGTATCCTTGGGGGCCGGCACTCTCGCCACCGAGGGGGCGTTCACGACCCTGTATTGCGTGGGGCTGGTGTCTTTGTTGGGCATGTGCATGGTGTTGTCGTAGGGGTCGTTCATGTGCCCCTCGTATGGGCGTGGGCCCAGGCCGAGGTTGCCTGCTGCTCTGCTCTCGCTGTTGTTGTTTCCTTCTTTGGACTGACCCTGCTGCGCTGGGGCTGCTGCGCTGGGGCTGCTGCGCACTGTGGTGCTGGCTGACTCTATTGGCTGTGCCAGTCGGACCAGAAGACGATCTTGGTTGCGGACCTGACGGGCGCGGTCATGCCACGCGGGTTCGCCTCCTCGGGGCGTGGCTGCACGCGCCGCCGCGGCTGCGGCGCCTATGGCGCGCTGCACGCGAGCCCAGGCCGACTGGGGCGACCGACGAGGCGACGACGGCCCAGCCCCTCCTCGGCCAATGGCTTCCTCCTCCTCCTCCTCCTCCTCCTCCTCCTCCTCCTCCTCCTTATCCTCCTCCGTGAATGCGTCGAGCCCCCCGGCGGTCCTGGGAGCGCACGGGGCGACCCTTGGGCCACATCGGCAGCGCCCTTGAGCGCCTCGAGAGTGCCCCAGGGGCCAGCGATGCGCGTGCTTTCGCGCGCGTGCCGCGCTCCAGAAGGGCCCTCCTCCTCCTCCTCCTCCTCCTCCTCCTCCTCCTCCTCCTCCTCCTCCTCCTCCTCCTCCTCCGTGAATGCGTCGAGCCCCCCGGCGGCCCTGGGAGCGCACGGGGCGACCCTTGGGCCACATCGGCAGCGCCCTTGAGCGCCTCGAGAGTGCCCCAGGGGCCAGCGATGCGCGTGTTTTCGCGCGCGTGCCGCGCTCCAGAAGGGCCCCAGGACTCCTCCTCCTCCTCCCTCCTCCTCCTCCTCCTCCTCCTCTCTCCCCCTCCTCCTCCTCCTCCTCCCCCTCCTCCTCCTCCCTCCTCCTCCTCCTCCTCTCTCCTCCTCCTCCTCCTCCTCCTCCTCCTCCTCCTCCTCCTCCTCCTCCTCCTCCTCCTCCTCCTCCTCCTCCTCCTCCTCCTCCTCCTCCTCCTCCTCCTCCTCCTCCTCCTCCTCCTCTCCTCCTCCTCCTCCTCCTCCCTCCTCCTCCTCCTCCTCCTCCTCCTCCTCCTCCTCCTCCTCCTCCTCCCTCCTCCTCCTCCTCCTCCTCCTCCTCCTCCTCCTCCTCCTCCTCCTCCTCCTCCTCCTCCTCTCCTCCTCCCTCCTCCTCCTCCTCCTCCTCCTCTCCTCCTCCTCCTCCTCCTCCTCCTCCTCCTCCTCTCCTCCCCTCCTCCTCCTCCTCCTCCTCCTCCTCCTCCTCCTCCTCCTCCTCCTCCTCTCCTCCTCCTCCTCCCCCCCCTCCTCCTCCTCCTCCTCCTCCTCTCCTCCTCCCCCTCCTCCTCCTCCTCCTCCTCCTCCTCCTCCTCCTCCTCCTCCTCCTCCTGGACTTCGTCCTGGCACTCCCGACTCCCGACTCCTCCTCCTCCTCCTCCTCCTCCTCCTCCTCCTCCTCCTCCTCCCCCTCCTCCTCCTCCTCCTCCTCTTCCTCCTCTTTCTGCGCGACCGCACCCTGTGGTGAGTCCGTGGGGACCCAGGGTGCCCGCACGCTTCTGGGACTCGGGCCTTCCTCCGAGGATGTCGATGTCGTGGGCGACAGGGGCCTCGAGGGTCCCCAAACCGTGCGTTGAGGCCTTTCGGGTTTTTGAGGTCACCCTTGGAGTAAAGGGTTTAGCCCAAGGCTGGGTTCGTAGGGGACGAGCCCAGCTGCGTTCGCAAGCCATGCAGCCCGACGCATCAGCTCAGCAGGAGGAAGACCGGTCGTTTATCCGAGAGTGCACTCGAGCATCTACGAGGTCGATGGAATTACCATTTTGTTTCACAATTGTTTTCCAATTTGGCTGGTATTTCCGCCGTCCAGAGCGATGTTCCTCTGGCCCCACCTCCTTTGCCCTGCCCCACCTTCAACGTCTACCCGGCAGATGGGGTGGGGGGGTCAGTTCCCTCGAGCGTTGCTCAACGGGGGGCGATAAGTGCAGTCTCCGAGGCCCTCGGAGGGCCTCCGAGGCCTCACCTGGGCGCTCCGAGGCCCCCGGATGCCTGCAAGGCTCCCCAGAAGAGCTCCGAGGCCTTCCCAGGGCGCTCCGAGGCCGCGGAGGGCCCGCGAGGCCTTCCGGGAAAAGCGATCGCGCGCGCGCGCGGGCGCCCCGGCGTGGCGGCGCCTCGCAGGGCGGCGCGTTCGAGCTGCGGCAAGCGGAGGGCGGCTTGTGGGATCTGCGGCTCGCGGCGAGCGACTTGGAGCCGCCCCTGAACGATGACGGGGTCCAGGCGGTGTCGGCGTCGTCGTCGTCGTCGGGGGAGGGAGAAGAGAAGCGACATCACCATCACCAGGGGGGCCACCTCCAGCGAGTGAGGTCCGCGATGCTTCCCCGAGCTGGGGATAGAGGAGGTCTCGAGCGAGAGTCGGGGACATACCACCAGGGGACCCCCCTGGCTCCTCCCGCTCGTGGTCCCTGGTGGTGATGGTGGTGTCGCTGTTCCTTGTTCAGACGTCGCGGTCGTCGACGTCCGCCTCCTGGAGGACGAGGAAGGGGTGTCGGAGGGAAGAGATGCAATGGCCGCCGCCGCAGCTTCGTTTTTCCCAACCATCATGTGGTGTTGGGTCCTCGTTTTGAAGAGACGGTCCCCGCGTCCCTCCTCCCTCCTTCCTTCCTCCCCCTCCTCCCTCCTCCCTGCGTTTCACCCACCCAGTACAGCGCTTCGCGGCCCCATAGGGAGCTCCACCGAAGCCCCCAGTGGGACCGCCCGCATGCATCCCGGAAGCCAAATTTGGCATTTTCACTAACCCAATACAGCGTTTTGTGGCCCCATAGGGAGCTCCACCGAAGCCCCCAGTGGGACCGCCCGCATGCGTCTCGGAAACCCAATGTGGCATCTTCACCCACCCAGTACAGCGCTTCGTGGCCCCATAGGGAGCTCCACCGACGGCCCCAGTGGTACCGCCCGCATGCGTCCCCCCCACCCAGTGCAGCGCGTTGTGGCCCCATAGGGAGCTTCACCGAAGAAGATATTCACAATTGCCGTACCCACAACTGCATATGGTTGGGTCTTTCGCAAGGGTATATTTTTGCAACCGCCGGCTTTCCCTCGACTTCGGCCCTCGGAGACTCGGAGGCAGTCTCTTTCCCATGGGACCACCAAAACGGGTCCAGGGCGAAAAACCTGGCTCGAGGAAGCGGTCGGCAGCCCTGGGGATCGGAGGGATCTGGGCTCCTTCTGAGACCACTTGCGAACCCTACCCCTGCGGGTTCACCCGACTGGGGTATCGCACCCCCGCTGGGGTTCACATTGCTGCAGACATCCTTCGATTTCTGAACCTCTGCTGGCGTTTCAGATCGGAGGCCCTTTTTCTCCTGCAACCCCCGACTCGTCGACGAAAAGTAAAGCCGCTCAGAAAAGGAGGGGAACCCTGGGATGCACTCCCAGGGGGCTATTCGGACGCGCCCCTATCGCGATTGAACACCCCCCCCAGCCATTGTATATCCCAGGGTTGGGCCCCAATTTTCTGATCTTTTCGAAAATCCCATGAAGCCTGGGATAGGGGTCGACATATCCCCTCCCGACGAGTATGGAATGCATTGCAAGTGACGTGGACAAGACCAATCGCAAGATGCTGGACGGATCAACGCTAAGGATCGCTTGTGCACTCTCTTGTCCGCCTGAGGTCCACCATCGAACATGAGCGCCACGCTCCCGTATTGAACAAACCGTGGAGTTGAGGGCGAGGCCCAGTGTACCTGTGAGGCCTGCGCATATGTTTCTGCTCGCGCAGCCAGGCGCTGCGCCTCTCTTCTCGGGCCAGCCGCGGGGCAGCAGCGGCCAACGGTCTGCTTGCGGTCGACGATGTCTGGGGCCAGGTATATCAGCAGGTCTTGGGCACGAGGGCTGCTTGCATATGCAGCCCCGTTGACCTTTTTGGGTCGGGATGCCGATCTGGGCCGTGACGGGCAAGTAGCCGTGCATCGACGAAGGCCTCTGGACGCCGCGGGAAGGTTTTGAGGGGGGCTGGACCGGGCGGGGGAGGCACCGTTGTCTCGAGTGGCCCGCCTCTGGGACGCGGGGGAGGAGGGGTGGTGGAGGACCGGGGCTCTCGAGTGCTGCTTGCCCTGTCTGGGCCTCCGGAGGAGGGGGTATAGGGTATAGGAGTAGGGGTAGGAACCAAAGGCGATGCCAGTGCCGATGCTGAACTAAGCTTGGCCTCGCTACGCCTTCTCGGCTCTGCTCAGGACCTGCTGGGTTTGACCTTCCTGAGTTCTCTCGACATGTTCCCGACCAGTGGGGGAAATAATACATGAGCATGGCTTTGCGAGTGCTCGTAGCTGCGTGTCAGCCACCGCCCCGCACCGCCCACAGCACCAGGATTTCACAGAGGCATGATCGCTGAGGAGGTGAGTGGGATGCACCCCCCCCACCCGACACTGATGGTGGCTTTGGAGGCCGACCCACAGCACCTGGTGCACCGCCTCTTGCACTCAGTCGGGCTGCGTCTGGAGAGGAGGGCGGAGACGGCAGCAGCAGGAGGCAAAGGGGGGGCAAGCGGGGGCGGAGGGCCCCCGCTCCCCTTCCCTCGCGCGTCAACTGCCTGTCACTGGCTGGTCAATGCAACGATGCGCTGAGGAGTCTCATCCGCACCAATCGTGCGCGACGCTCGTGCCACAGCAAGCGATGGCGTTCCGCCTCGGGCACTCTCGCGCGTGCCGCGGCCAAGCCTGCTGACTGTCCACCGCTGCATTCGCGAGAATCAGCTGCCTGACGCCTTCACCTCTGGCCATCTGCGCAGACGAGCGGTGGGAGTGAGTGAACAAAAACGACCACATGCTCGAAAGGGAGGGGAGGGAGAGTGGAGGGAAGGAGGGATGGGGGAGGTGGGGGAGAAAACCTTTCAGGCTTACGCCGCTCCGCCGGCCCCGAGTACTACAGAGGATGGCGGATGTCTACACTTATGGATGTTCCCCGTATCCCCAGCAGTTCATTGGGGCAAGGAGGCCAGCAACGCTGACTCTGAGACCTGTGGGAGCCTTTCGGAGGCCCCTTGAAACGATCTTGGAACGATCTTGGAGGTATCTTGGTGCCTGATCTAAGGTTTTTTTACTTGATTGGGGCTTTGTGGGGCCTCTTGATGGCCTGTCATGGGCTCCTCTGAGCTCGTGAGGACCTTCGCGCTGGAGCGCTTCTGGGCCCTTTGGGGCTCTCTTGGCCGCCCTTCGAGCCATCTTGAGGCCCCCCAAACCCATCGGACACGAGCAGCCGACAAACAGCAATACTATCAAAGCAACACATTCAGCTATTAGGGGGTTTGGGCCTTTTCGATTGTATTCTTCAGTTTCGGTGGCCATTTGGAGCCGTCGTTGAGCCACTTTGCCGAGTAGGAGCTCTTCTTGGGTGTCCTGGAGGAGTCCAATGGATTTGGAGGTTCGGAGGGCATGGGAGATGCGCCTGGGAGTTCGTCGCCCCCTCCCCTCCCCCGTTGCCCCTCCCTCAAACGGCATGTTGGACCCCTGGGGAGGGGGAGTGTGCGTGTGTGTGTGTGTGTGTGTGTGTGTGGATCAGAACTGCAACCATCACACACGCCTTCTCGATGGGGGCGAACGCGGCAGGATGCCAGAAGGACGCGGGAGAGGGGGGAGGCCCTCACTTCGTTCTCCTCACCGTTTCCCCCTTCCACCCCCCTTGAGCCCATTTCTCTCGCCCACCTTGTGTAGTTGGCAGATGGTGTTCTAGATTCGATGTCCGGCTGCTCGCGGCAAGTCCCGCCACCGTGTCAGCTCCGCATTTTGAATTGCGATTGTCCGAGGATGGGAGAGCAGTGATGAGGATGAGGGTGTTATTGATGATGTTGATGATGAGTACGTGGATTATGGAGAGGATGATGTTGATGCTGGTGATGATGATGCTGATGATGATGGTGGTGGTAGTGGTGATGAGGATGGTGGTGTTGATGCTGATGATGATGTTAATGCTGCTGTTGGTGATGATGCTGCTGATGATGATGATGGTGATGGTGATGATGATGATGATGATGATGATGATGAGGAGGAGGATGATGATGATGATGGTGATGCTGCTGATGGTGATGATGGTGATGATGATGATGATGATGATGGTGCCGAGTACGATTAAGTGTGCTGATGACGATGGTGACGATAATGAGGTGGATGAGGTTGAGAAGTATGGTGGTTGTAATGCTGCTGCTGTCACTGCTGCGGCTGCTGGTGGTGGTGGTGATCATGATGACGGCGATGATGACGCCGATGATGATGCTCTTGATGATGATGACGATGGCGATTATGATGATGCAGATGCTGATAATGATTTTGATGACGATGATGACTGATGGTGATGCGTATGAGAATGATGAGGGTATTTTCTAGGCTGATGATCATGATGCTGATGTGTATTCTACTGATGGCGCTGATGGTGACTGGGCTGCTGATGATGATGCTGATGCCGATGACGATGATGATGGTGACGATGATGATGACGACGATGATGATGACGATGGTGATGATGGTGATGATGGTGATGGTGCTGATGATGCTTACTACGCTTGTGATGCTGATGATGATTCTGATGGTGATAATGGTGGTGGGGCCGGTGATAGTGATGGCGATGCTGGTGATGGTGATTGTGATGGTGATGATGATGGTGATGATGATGATGGTGATGATGATGATGGTGATGATGATGATGATGATAATGCTGCTCATGACGATTACGATGATGCTGATGATGATGCTGCGTGGTATGCTGATCGTGATGATGATGCTGATGCTGCTGCTGATGCTGATGTTGATATTGATACTGATGCTGATCATTCTGTTACTGATGATGCTGCAGATAATGATGTAAACGATGCTGCAGCTGCTGCTGATGATAAGTATGATGTTGATGATGATGATGATGATGATGATGATGACGATGATGCTGATGATGATGATGATGATGATGATGATGATGCTGATAATGACGATGCTGACGATGCTGATAATGGTGATGCGTGTGGTGATGCTGATGACGCTGATGATGATGGTGATGATCGTGATGCCAATGCTGGGAATGGTTATGATGATGGTGACGATGACGATGCTGCTGCTGATGATGATGATGGTGATGCGTATGACAATGATGATGGTGTTTATTAGGCTGATAATGCTGATGATGATGATGTGGATGATGATGATGACGATGCTGCTGACGATGCATCTGATGATGATGACGATGGTGATGGTGATGCTGATGATGACTATGATGCTGCTGCTGATGATGATGATGATGCGGATGATGATGATAATGTCGATGATCATGATCATGGTGACGGGGATGGTGGTTGTGATGATGGTGATGATGATGATGTTGATGTTGATGCGGATGATAGTGCTGATGCTGATTATGACGATGTTGATGATGTTGATGATGTTGATTATGTTGATGTTGATGCTGCTGCTGGTGCTGATGTTTTTGCTGATGATACTGATTATGCTGATGCTGATGATGTTGACGATACTGAAGCTGATGATGTTGCTGTTACTGCTGCTGCTGCTGATGATGATGATGATGCTGCTGCTGATGATGCTGACGATAGTGATGATGATGGTGAAGATGTGGCTGATGATGATGATGATGATGATGATGCTGATGCTGATGCTGATGCTGATGCTGATGCTGAAGATCATGTGACACCTTCCGTTTTCATTATTTAGTAGCTCTCACTGAACTTTTTCAGGCCGGCTTTGGGCTGTCTTGGTTTCCCGTGGGGCAGTCTTGGGGGTCACTTGGGGCCCTCTTGGGCCATCGTGAAGCCATCATGGGCCGTTGTGAGTCCAAAGTGGGCCGTTCTGGAATCATCTTCGGCCGTCTTGGAGGCATCTCTGCCTTGGGAGCGCGCACCTGTCGCATTTTACGACGGAGTGTGTCCTCGAGAGCGTGGAAACGTTGCATTTTTCGACAGGGTAACCTCATGCCCGTGAGAATAAACACTAGGGGATAATAAAGTTCGGGGTTCAGGGAGAGATAATAAAAGTAGCCCAGCAGACCTCAGCATAATCTGGAAGTAAGAGATGATCAAGAGGAGACCAAGCCGAGCACGTTTTGAGACATCCTTGGCGTTTAGTTTTCATAGAAATATCCTCAACAATGGCTTATCTCTCATGAAAATTGTTTTTTGTAAGTGCTCGTGTAGGGTAGCTCATGTGCCTCAATTTCCATGGATAATCAACCCCAGAGATAAAAAAGTTCAGGCGAGCGTGGGGACAGAGAGAAATATAAAAGAAGAAGAATACAGTAGAAGAATAATAAGAAAGAAGAAGAAGAGGATAATAAGAAGAGGACGAAGAAAGGAAAAATCCAAAGTTCCAAATCTATCAATTTTAATTTACAAACGCTTTATGAACATTGATTTTTTTAAGTGCTCGTGTAGGGTAGCTCATGTGCTTCATTTTCCATGGATAATCAACCCCAGGGATAAAAAAGTTCAGGCGAGCGTGAGGACAGATAGAAATATAAAAGAAGAAGAGGAAAGTAGACGAATAATAAGAACATTGCTCGTTTCGTTTGAGTCTGCCTCCCAAAATTATTGGTTTCGCTTGACACATCCTGAAACAGTGTGATCGCTTCGCTTGATGTTGCTATATCAACATCGCTTGATGTTGCTATCTCAACATAGCGTGTCGAGGTGATAATGAAGTTCGGCCTCAGCGCTCGCCGCCCAATTTGAATTTTGTATAGGGCGACGATAATCAACTCTAAACACTGAAGGGGGGGGGTCCCTTTATTATCATCGGCATGCGGTTATGGCCTCGAGGGTGCGAACCCGTCGGATTGTGTCAGGAATTGTGTCCTCGGGAGGGTGGGCGGTGCATGCTGCGCAGCGTGGCGAGAGACGAGAGAGTGGGGGGTCCCTGGAAGATTTCAGATACCCTACCAGACAGCACTGGGCATTTTTGCAGGCCCCAAACGTGCCAGGGGGCACGGTGGCGGATCAATCAATGTTGTGGTCAACGACAGAGATGACAGTGACAGTTGACGTTCATCTGAGCATGGGGTATTCGATGTTGGTCGTGCTTGCATTCCGCCAGGTGTACTGCCGGTGGCTTCACCAGCGGCTGAAGAAGGCCAGGGGGAGAGTTGACTACTGATACTGCGATTGGTCTTGCACGATGCTGCGTTGACGTGAATTTTGTGGGCACCTCTCTTGCGCTCCCCCAAGAGTCGTCATTTATATTGCGTCCTGTCTCCTCGACTCGTTGGCTGTCGCCATTTGTCCCTCATCGACTTACATCGGCCATCTCTGTCTTCCCATCAGGCGACCTCGAACGGTTTTTGTTTTTGCAGCCAGCGACCTCCAGGCGTCGCGAGACCAAGATCACCACAGAACTCTTTTGGCAATTTTCATCGTTATGACGAAGACCTCGCAGCACTTGTTCTCTCACTTACCTGGCTCAGGGCTGTTGACACATTCGTGATGACGAACTGGTCCATGGGAAGAGGGTTCACGTTGCGAGCAAATTGGGGGGTGTGGTGAGGGAACGAGCGGAGGAGGCCAAACTCACCAGACAAAAAAGGGCCAAGGAGGCCTGTCGGTCTGGATCCCAGCACGCTCCAGTCCCCCACGGAATTGTCATGAGGTGTCAGCACTGCTTGCGAGTCGTATCGGCCTCCACCCAGACACAGTGCTTTGCCCCGAGTCCATGGTTACTCCCTTCTTCGAGGCGGTGGGGTCTCGGGGCACAAGCTACATTTGCCGAGGGTGTTCGCCTCGCCCGCAAACTCTGTCATCCCTGTAATTATATATTCTTCGCGTAACCCCACCAGCCCATCCAGAAACGATGCCCAGGCGAGTTGCCCTGATCAGACATGTGGGGGAGGGCGCAGTGGAATAAAGGCTGGGAAGCCGTCATATCTCTAGAGGGGAGGGTAGATGAGGAACCAGATGAGGAGGATATGAGGAGGAGGAGGAGGGGGAGCAGCAGGAAGAGGAGGACGAGGAGAGCGAGCAGAAAGGGCAGAGACCTCTTGGATGCCTCCTGAGTCTCTTAAGATGGCTCTTGAGAGCTTCCTGTGGGCCTCTTTAAGGCCTCTTGGCGGTCCTGGGGGCCTCTTGAAGCGGCTTGGGTGCCTCGGGTCGGGGGGGGCTCTTCGGGCCTCCTGGGGGTCCCTTGAAAGCCTCTCAGGGGCCTATCATCCTGGGGCCATCTTGGAGGAGATCGATCAAAGAAAGGGGCCATGATGAATTAGGGTCCCCCCCAGGAGGCCAACATGTGGCCAACATCTCATATGAAAGTCAACAGTTGTGCCTCCTCGCCGAGGCCGTTTTGGACACTCTAACCCCTCGCCGCCTCTCCCCCTCTAGACCCAGGGGGAGGGGGTAGGGAGAGGGGTCGAGCTACCCACCCGCCCGCAGGCCGTCTAGCTCACTCCCACCCGCCCTCCCAACACATGAGTAACACCCGAGCTTGATCATGTTCAGCGGTCGTCTTTGGATGGGCAGCTACTGGGAACCACAGCCGACCCCAGGTGCGCGACGCTTGGGCGAGGTGCGCCACGCGGGCCAGGGGCTCCACGCGCGCCAGGCACCCCTGGGGCCCGAGCGTGCAAGGCACGCCTGGTGCGCCAGATGCGCCACGTGCTCCGAGTGCGCCAGGTGTGCCGCACACTCCAGCCGCGCCAGGTGCGCCACGTTCGGGGCATGTGCAGAGTGCGTCAGGTGCGCCTGCGCACGTGGCAGCACACATCGGGAAACCTGTCGGCCTCCAGCATTCCTGTCGAAAGCCAATGCCCATCATTGTGTCTGGTGGGCCTGCGCACAGCAGGCCACGCGCCACCACCCCCGCCGTCTGAAAAAAAACACCACGTGGCAGTGATCGTGGGGTGGCCGCCCATGATCCAGATTTAGCCGCGAGGTGCAGTTTGTATTCTTTGTTGTCAGGGATGGTATCCCTGCGCGCATTAGGGACTATGCTGACACCCACGCCGTCCCGGCCAAAACAATACAAAGTGTTCGCGGGCTTCACGCATATGGCTCAAGACTTTGCCCCAAAGTGCACTTTCTATTTTTGTCAGGGGTAGTGAGGGGGGGCGGCGCATCGGGTTGGCCGCGCATGCTCCAAATGTGGAGGCAGAGTGCGTGTTGGATTGTTTGTGGCAGGGATGATGGGGGGGTGATCATGGGGTCGGCATTGTTCCGTGTTGGCTGCTGGCCAGTTGGGGGAGGGGGTTTATATTGTTTGGGAACAGTCATACATCTTTCTCCGAAGGGGAAGGGAAGATGGTAGATGAAACGCTCTAAACCACACGCCCAGAAGGCTGGTGGGATTTCATGTGTTTCATGTGGAGAGTTCGCATTCGTCCGAGCTGGGAGATTGCTCCTCCACCCACGTCGCCCCTCTTAAGCCCTTCGAAACTCACCAGGGGACTGCTTCCTGGGACTCCTCTTCCCCCTGCCTCTGCCTCCGCCTGTTCTTCCTGATTGGTCCCAGCAGTGGGGTCCCAGCTTTGTTGTCTTGGCATCGCTCGGACGTGTGCATTTTTTCTCGGCGAGAACCATCGAGGACCATCCTGGACCATCGAGCAACAACACCACGCACGAAACCGACAACTACACGGGAAATGGATGTCCGAGCGACGGCATGTTGTAGGGCGTCGGCTGAGCCCAGCTGGAGCAGGCGTACTTGAGGTCCGCAGGGGTCCGCTGAGGGGGAAGAGGAGGAGGACGAGGAGGTTGCGAGGAGGGCGAGCATGGGGGAGGAGGAGCCCAGGAGAAAGGGCGATTGGGACGGGGTAGAGGAGGAGGAGGAGGAGGAGGAGGAGGAGGAAGAGGAGCACGAGGCTTGTCCGTCGCACTTGTCCACCTGATGTGGGTTATGCCCAGGTGTGCGTGTGTGTGTGTGTGTGTGTGTGTGAAAGTGTGTGTGTGTGTGTGTGTGTGTGCGGTCGTCTCCGAACACTTACGGCTGCCCCAAGGGTCCCTTCTCGGGGGTCCCTGAAGGGCCCGTTCGACGGCCGCATGGACTCAGGATCGAGCCTGTTCGGGCGCCGAGTGGACCAGGTTACCTTCGGCATCTTGAAGTTAGGCCTCTCTGGCTGCCCATTCGTCGGCCGAATGGGTTCAGCGTAGAATGGGCTCGGCAGAGAGCCCTGGGGTACTGCTGACTTCGGTGTTCAATCATGGCCATTTTTTGTAATCAACCATGAAACTCTCACGCCGCAGACCGCCACCAAAAACATTTAAGACCAGAATTTGTCACCAGAGACCGCCGAGATCAGCCGTGCAAACTCGCAGAGTACCTGCAAAGCGTAGCCGATTACCGCCTGGATGGGTAATATCGACATCACCCAATCATTATGTCCATTACGCGTGCGTCGGCATCGCAGGGGCGACTCGCGCGTTCAAACATCTTTGAATATAGGTTAGTTGCGGACGATTTCTGGCCGCATTATAGCCCCCGCGGTTGAGAATAAGAGTGTGGTGGGGGGGCGGCGGTGCCGTCAGCAGTCTGCGAGGCTCTGAAGAAGCCCGCCGCAGGCACCAAAAGTACGGTGGGTGGGTCGCAGGTGGGTCGCGGGCGGGTCGCAGGTGAGTCGAGGGCGGGTCGAGGGCGAGAACGACGACAATATCCAACAGTAACAAACAACAAACAAGCAGCAAACAACGAGTGGAAGCCCACTTCATGCACGCGACCAGGGACGGTGTAGGACCGGTTGGGCCCCTCACTCTGACTATGAGATGTCTGTGCTAGACGTTCGGTTGGGACGTGCGCCTCTAAGGGGTTCGCGTACTGTGTCTGTGTCCTCTTGCGTCCCGCAGTGACCTCACAAGCTCCAGCCCGACCTCAGGCGAAGGAGGAGTGCGGGCTGAGCTCCCTGCGGCAGCTGCGCGCGGAGCTGGACTTCTCCAAGGCGGACCCCCATCCTGCTGCCCTGTTCGTCCTCGCGCCCGCTTTGCGTCTTGTCTCTCTTGGTCCAGCTCTCCTAGGTGGGAACGAAGCAAACAGGGACGGAGGACGCGCTGCATCGCCGATGCATCGCCGACGCGGCTCGATGTGGAACTCGATGTTATCCACGCCGACGGCCCTGATGCATCGCCGAAGCACCGGCGATGCATCGGCGATGCGGCGCGATCCTCCAACCCCAGCTGCTCGGACGTTTGGAGGCCTCTAATGGGGGAGGGTCCTCGTCGCCCAGGCAGGCTGCCTGGTATTGATGTTTTCTTACGCGCTGGGCATGTATCTCAGATGGAACCGTTGCCTCTGTCGGGCTTAGTCCTGATTGAATAGGTTGCGGTGAGGACATTGTCCGAGCACACGAACAAGCAGGCTAATTTCGGGTGTAAGTAGAGGGGGCGTTATGCCCAAGGGGGGGGGGGGGCTGCGTCAAAACGCAACGGCGGGGAAAAAAGAAAACGCGGAATGGTGGCATAGTGATTGATTGTTTTGCGATGCCACGTTGATGATTCATACCAGCAAATTGAGGAGGGAGGAGGATCAATAGAGGGAGTGGAAGGGTGGAAGGAGGATGGAGGCGCATTGGAGACGAACGGGCGTGGACGCGGTACCTAGCTTCCCACGCGCATTGGCACGCGGCCGAGGGTTGCCAGACTCGTTGCGGCATTTCCCAGGCTTTGGGGTCGACGTTCTCTTAGCCAGGAGGCCTGTCCAAGCAAGTGCGGCAACGTGGCCAGTTGCCCCATCTTTAGTTCGTGGTCTTGTTGTCCCGCGTGGTGTCGTTTTATTATGATGTGTAGTTTTTGTTTGTGGCGTGATTGTGTTGTTCGGTGTCGTCTCTTTGCGCGGCGTTGCTTGATTCCGTGGTGTCGGTTTGTTGAGTAGTGTCGTTCTATCGTGCGGTGTTGTTCCGTTTTGCGTGGCATCGTATTGTTGAGTGGTGATGTTGTTATTGCGAGATGTTGTTTCGTTGCGCGGTGTCACTGTGTGATATGGTGCAGTTGTGTTGCTTTGTGTCGGTTTGGTGCGCTGTGTTGTTTTGGTGCGTGGTTTGGTTCTCGCGCGCTTGTTTGGATTTTCGCGCTCAGCCCGACCAGGAGTTGCGTTCCGTAACACGCCCATGCCCGCTCTTCCTCTTCAATTTCTTCCACATTCCCTCCGACCCTCCTCGTATGATTCCTCCTGCTCCTGTCCTGCCCCCATTCCTGTCCCCGGTCCCCCCCGCCCCGCCTTCCCCCCCCCCGCTCTCGGGGTAGGCCAGGATCCAGTGCTGATGGCGACTACGTGACCTCAACTCAGAGCGGCCGTTAGCCGCGACCCTGGATCCACGCGGGGAGTAGCAGAGACTACGGGCGCGAGAGATAGCATTGACGAGGAGCGCCCATCTGTCTCTCATACGGACTGCTGTCGTACTCCTGGGAACACATGCCGACAGCACCTCAGACGGCATCCGGCCGTCACCCTGGCCTTCCCTTGGACATCGAAGCGGGAGAGGCCAAAGGCCACCCTGGACAAGGGAGAGCGTACCCTGAGCAGCCGGTGGCTGCTTCCCTGGAGTTCGGGCCCTGGCTTCGGCGCCCTTGTCCCCTCGCCAGGTCTCCCTGGGAGCCTCTCCGTGTGGAGGGTCGGTGATGTCTGTCCCCACCGCCACTCTCCTCGGGTCTCTCCTGGGCTGGGCAGGCTGCCGGGTTCACATGCCCCTGGATCGCGAGGTGATCGTCCTCTATGCCCCCTCACTCGCCAGGTGGGCACCGCACTGGCAGTGAAGGCTCCGCGCGAGCTCCTGACCAGCGGCCGTATCCCTGGGTGCCGGTTCCGCAGACCCCCCGGCGGGGAGGGATCCGCGGGGGCTCAAGGTACTCTTGCATCCCGGTGCCCCTGCCCTCCTCGGCAACCTCAACTCAGAGCGGCCGTTAGCCGCGACCCTGGATCCATGCGGGGAGTAGCAGAGACTACGGGCGCGAGACATAGTATTGACGAGGAGCGCCCATCTGTCTCTCATACGGACTGCTGTCGTACTCCTGGGAACAGATGCCGACAGCACCTCAGACGGTATCCGGCCGTCACCCTGGCCTTCCCTTGGACATCGAAGCGGAAGAGGCCAAAGGCCACCCTGGACGAGTGAAGCGTACCCTGAGCAGCCGGAAGCTGCTTCCCTGGAGTTAGGGCTCTGGCTTCGGCGCCCTTGTCCCCTCGCCAGGTCTCCCTAGGAGCCTCTCCGTGTGGAGGGTCGGTGATGTCTGTCCCCACCGCCACTCTCCTCGGGTCCCTCCTGGGCTGGGCAGGCTGCCGGGTTCACATGCCCCTGGATCGCGAGGTGATCGTTCTCTTTGTCCCCCTCACTCGCCAGGTGTCCCTGGGGAACCCCTCCGCGTGGAGGGCCAGTGATGTCTGTCCCCACCGCCCCTCCCCTCGGATCTCTCCCGGGCAGGGCTGGCTGCCGGGCTCGCAGACCCCTGGATCGAGGGGGTGATCGTTCTCTGTGCAGCTCCTCCCTGGATTCTTGTGCCTCGCTGGTGATGTTCATCCCCACCAGCCTGGCCTATCACACCCAGTGGCGCCCGCCACGCTGTGACTGCGGGTCTGGGGCCTGGCCTTCAGGGCTCGCCACAGGGCCGGCGCCCGTCGTGCTTGGATGGCGGGCCTTGGGACCCCGTGGTCGCTTCGGAGTGGTTCAGCCTTCCTTCAGCACCGCGCCTCCCCTGGACCCGTCCCAGCCTTTCAGGCAGGTCTTCGACGTCACTTCGGCAGCATAGCTGACCCAGCTTGCACACATCGTTGGTGCGGACCTGGACTTGGCGCCCCGCTGGCGACTCGTTCATCGTTCACCTCGCCTGTGCATCCTCCCTGCGTGTGAGGGTTTACACAGAATTCTCTGGCATTTTGTCAGACTGCACTTTGCCTGAGCTTCCCTGGACGCCCTCAGCCTGTCTGCTTCCCCGCGCAGCCCCGCGGTAGCTTGGTGAGTGGGCCGGCCGGCCTGCGGCGCGTTTAGTAGCTAATTAGGCCGTTACCGTGTCCCGGAACGCTTCTGACTCCGCTTGCGCTCTCGCTGGCGGACGCGACCGAAAAAAAGAAACAACAGTATCCCCACCAGCCCATCCAGAAACGATGTCCAAGCGAGTTGAGGTGATCAGGGAAGTGCGGCAGCAAAGAGGAGGACGGCCGAACCGTGCAAAGGAATGAGGAGGAGAAGGAGGAGGTGGATGGATGGATGGATGAAGGAGTTGGAAGAAGGAGGATGAATAGGATGAGGAGGAGGCGGAGGGGGAGGAGGAGGAAAAGAAGGATTAGGAGCAGGAGGGAGGAACAGGAGGAGGAGGAGGAGGGCAAACACAAGTGACAGAGGTCTCTTGGATGCCTCTCTGAGCCTCTTGGGGTATCTCTTGGGCGATTCTTGGTGGCCTCTTGGGACGTCTTGGGGGTCTCTTGACGATCCTGGGGGGCTCTTCGGGGTCTTGGGTGCCTCGGGGGGGGCCTCTTGGGGCTGCTTAGGGTCTTCCTGGGGGCCTCCTGGGGGCCTCCTGGGGGCCTCTTGGGGGCCTCTTGTGGCCATCTTGGGGCCATCTTGGGACCTCTTGGGGCCTCCTGGGCGCTTCTTGGGGCCATCTTGGAGGAGATCGGTCAACGAAGGGGGGTTCCTTAATTAGGGTCCCCCCCCTGGAGGCCCAAATGGGGCCAAGACCCTAGTAAAAACCAATGATTTGTGCTTCCTCGCCGAGGCCGTTTTGGCCGCCCTGACACCTCGCCGCCCCCCTTTCCTCCAGGTCCATGGCGAGGGGGTCGGGGGAGGGGTAAGCCCCTCCCCGAAGGGGAAGAAGGAGGGGTGGAAGCGGAAACGCCCTAAACCACCGACGCCCAGAGGGCTGGTGGGATTCGTCTGAGTTTGAACTCCGGCCTGTGGGGCGTCCTTGGCCCCAGGTGGCCTCCTCTTTGAGGCCGATCTAGGCCGCCTTTGCGTTGGTGCATGTTGGAATACGATCGCTTCCCCAGCGGGTGCCAGAGTCCTTTTCTCCGCGACCTCTGGGGCCCCGAGTTCGGAGGGTCATCGAGAGCGTCCTCAGCGGCACATCCTGCACATCCTCCTCCTCCTCCTCCTCCTCCTCCTCCTCCTCCTCCTCCTCTTCATCCTCCTCCTCCTCCCGCTCCTCTTCCTCCTCCCCCTGCTCCTCTTCCTCCTCCTCCTCCTCCTCCTCCTCCTCCTCCTCCTCATCCCCTCCTTCTCCTTCTCCTTCGCTCCCCGAGAATGGGCTCGGCGACGACGCGCTGGAGCGGCTGCTGCAGGCGCTGCAGCGGGCCGAGGTGCAGGTGACCAGCCTCAACCTCATGGGGACCATCCTGGCCGCGGGGGCCTCTCGGCGGTCTCGAGGGGAGGAGGAGGAGGAGGAGGAGGAGGAGGAGGAGGAGGAGGAGGAGGAGGAGGAGGAGGAGGAGGAGGAGGAGGAGGAGGAGGAGGAGGAGGCGGTCTCGGCGGGCGTTCGGGGGGCGTCTAAGGAGAGAGGCTCGGGTGGAGGCTGGAACTTTTGGCGGCGAGCCTGGGCAGAAGGGGCGCGCCCTTTTGGAAGGCTCGGGAGGTCTCTGGCCTCTGTGAATTTTTTACGCATGCCCCGAAGACGCAGAAAGCTGAACCCTCTCACTTCCCCCCTTGGCTCGCCCACGAAATTCAGAGGTTTGAACTTCGAGGCTCTTGGATGTTTTTCCTAGCGGAGGTTGAAAGATTTGGTGAAAGTTTCTGGCTGATCTCGGTGGGCGGCCGGGTTCCCGGGTTCTTGGTTCCTGGTTCCCCAGTTCCTTGTTGCTGGTTCCGGGCCGATTTCGGTAGAAGGCGGGGTTCCCGGGTTTCCAGGTTCCCATGTTCCCTGTCGATCTCCTTACCGTTGTCTATCGAATTCACGATCGATCTCACGATTGATCTCATGATCGATCTCACCATCCATCTCACCCAATCGATCTCTCTATCGATTTCATTCTCGCTCTATCGATATCAATACCGGTATCACTCTCGATCTCATTATGGATCTCATTAAGTGGAACTCTCTGCCGGTCTCATTGTCGATCATACTACCGACCTCATCATCGACCACACGATCGATCTCACGATGGATCGCTCTATCGATCTCCCTATCGATCTTGCGATCGATAGGGGGTGCGATCGATATTGCGAATATCCAGATACCAGAGCCATCTGGATGCGGCGTTGAATGGTGATGGCGATGACAACGAATACCCAATGCCGACGATGATGATGATCAGGATGATGAGACTGAACATGGTGACGATGTTATTGGGGTTTGATGCTGCTGCTGCTGCTGCTGCTGAGGAGGAGGAGGAGGAGGAGGAGGAGGAGGATGATGATGATGATGATGATGATGATGTTGATAAGGATGATGCTTATGATCATGATGATGCGGATGAGCGGTCATGCTGATGACAATGATCATTAGCAAGAGGAAGCACAAGGTTAGCGCCGTCACATCAAGCACCTCTCGACCTGACTTCTGGCAGCTTATTCTGGCCGTTCCGAGGTTGTCCTGGGCTCCCGTGGAGCAGTCTTGAGACTCAAGTGGGCCGTCTTGAGGCCCTCTTCGCCGTCTGCTCGGTCTCTTCTGGCAGTCGCGGGGGCGTACTGAGCCCATATTTGGCGGTCGACGGGCCCTCTGAGGTTGTTTATTTTTGAGGCCTCTTGGGCCGCTTCAATCCGACGGATGCCCGAAAAGGCTAGAATACCACAACGCTTTTAAAACTTACAAGGAATCAGCATTTAGGACACCTCTCTGGGCCCTACGGCCTGGGCGGGACTGCGGCCAGGCATGGTGCCTGCCAAATTTTCAAGCCATCTGATGATTTGGTTTTTCTCTGGTGTAAATTAGTTTTCTCGGCCTCCAGGAGGCTCCTCGTCTCTACAGATGGGTCCACCTCGAAATTCGAGGCAGGTGCCACAGCGCAACAGGTCGGGGGTGAGTCGACTTGTGACCCCAGAGGGGACTGGGATCCCAGACGTGCTCGCGTCGTGCAACATTCTCGACGGGAGGTTTTTGGCCGCTCTCAGCCTCCAGGGGCCCTCGCCAGGCCCCAGCGCCGTCAATGAAACTTACCCCTGACGGAGACACCGGCCTCGGGGACTCGGCATCGCTCGGACGTGTGCATTTTTCCTTCGGCGAGGACCATCGAGGAGCATCCTTGATCATTTGGCGAAAAATCCACGCACGAAACCGAACAAAAAACACAGGGAATGGACGTCCGAGCGATGGCCAGGGGAAAGGGTCGAGACTTGAGGACTCCGCTTCGAAGGCGCGGTGGCCACGCCGCGTGGCGAGGCAGTGTGGCTCGGGGCGGTGGCGCGCGTCTGGGGGCTCGGGGCGGTTCCCCGAGGGCGTCCCACCGGCGGCCGGGGCCTCGAGGGCCCCACGACCGTTCGGTGGGCCGGCCGTGCGCTGATGAGGGGACTATTCGCCACGACCTCCACCACAGGTGGCCCGGGGGAGAGGGGATGATGGGGCCTCTGCCTCCTCCAATTCCTCCTCCTCCTCCTCCTCCTCCTCCTCCTCCTCCTCCTCCTCCTCCTCCCCCCCTCCTACCCATGTTAGTGTTGGTGGACAATCGGCTCATCAGTGGAGGTCGTCCGAGATTTCGAGGCCACCTCACGCTCTGTGACCGCACCGTTTCGCGACCCCCTAGACAGACGATCTCTCTCTCTCTCTCTCTCTCTCTCCACATCGCCGAGTCCCCCCTCAGGAGCAATCATGCCATTCAGAAACGAGTTGAAGAAGAACTACATACTGCACAAACATGTGCGACTTTGGGAACTCCGCGCAGATCTCTTGGATCGGCGCTGCCCCCCTCCCAGCGGCGCCTCTGGCGCCGCTCTTGGCGCGCTCCGCCGGGGCGGGGGGCAGCGCCGACCCACGAGATCCCGCGGACCTCCGAAAGTGTATGTTCATGATCAAGCAGTGGCGAAGCGTCCTGGCGTGCCCGCAGCCCCACCAAACAATGTTTTAAGAACATGTTGTGGTTTCCACGAAATGTTCTTAAGAACATTTCTGGCTGGGACTGTCTTGTTGTTTATCACATCGGGCTTATGTTCTAAGAACATTGCTTTTGTTCTTAGAACGCTTTTGGGTTCTAAGAACATGTCGTGGTAGGACTGTAGGAATGCCGGGACGGTCGGTCCCTGCTCAACATGATGTTTTGTCCAAACCACTTTGTGGTGTTGGGTTCTCGGTTTGAAGAGACGGCGTCCCGCGTCACTCCTCACTCCTCACCCTCTTCTCTCCTCCCCCTTCTCGCCTCCCTCCGCATGCCGATCATGTGGGCACACCCCTCGCGCGTTTAGTGGCCCCGTAGGGAGCTCCACCGAAGGCCCCAGTGGCTGCGCTCGCATGTCACCACCGCACCCAGTTCGGCACACTCCTCACGCGTCTCGTGGCCGCGTATGGAGTTCAGCCGAAGGTCCCAGTTGCTGCGCTCGCATGGCACCACCGCGCCCGTTTCGGCACACCACTCACGCGTCTCGTGGCCCCGTAGGGAGCTCTGCGCCCGCATGGCACCACCGCGCCCAGTTCGGCACACCCCTCACGCGTTTAGTGGCTCCAGATGGAACTCCACCGAGGGTTACAATGGCTTCTCTCGCACGGCACCATCGCGCCCAATCCCGCACACCCTTCACACGTTTCGCGGCCCCATAAGGAGCTCCACCGAGGGCCCCGAGGGCTGCGCTCGCATGGCGCCGCCGCACTCGTTTCGGCATCCCTCACATGCTCCGTGGCCCCAAATGGAGCCCCACCGAAAGCCATCGTGGCTGCGCTCGCATGGCACCACCGCACTCTTTTCAGCACACCCCTCATACGTTTCGTAGTCCCGTAGTGAGCTCCACCCAAGGCCCCAGTGACTGCGCTCGCAAGACGCCACCGCACCCATTTAGGCACTCTTACGCGTCTCGTGGCCCCGTAGGGGGCTCCACCGAACGAAGGCTCCAGAGGCTGCGACCGCATGGCACCGCCTCACCTGTTTCGACATACCCCTCAAATATTTCGTGGCCCCATAGGGAGCTCAACCGAAGGCCCCAGTGGCAGCGCCCGCATGGCACTACCGCGCCCAAGTCGGCACACCTTTCACACGCTTCATGGCCCCATAAGGAGCTCGACCTAAAGCCCCAGTGACTGCGCTCGCATGGCGCCGCCGCACCCAGTTCGGCACACCTCTCATGCGTGTCGTGGCCCAAAATGGAGCTCCACCGAGGGTCTCAATGGATGCGCTCGCATGGCACCACCGCGTCCGTTTCGGCGCACCCCTCTTACGTTTCGTGGTCCCGTAGGGGCCCCACACCCCGTCCGAAGGCCCCAGTGGCAGCGCTCGCATGGCACCACCCCCTTCATTTCGACACACCCCTCGCACGCTTCGTGGCCTAATAGCGAGCTGCACCGATAGCGGTCGGTACCCACAACGCGGTATTCACAATTGCATATGGTTTGTGTTCTCGCCAGGACAACTTCTTGTCCTCGGATGCATTCCCCAGCTGGCTGCTCGGACGCACACCCATCGAGGGTGGACGCCTCCCCATTGTTCGGTCCAGCCGAACCCCCTCACAAAGTCGGGGAGTTGCGTCGCCACATCCCCATGGGTTACTCCTGCCTCGAGCTCTGCTCACTGATTGCGATGCGGCAGCAGCGGCCCTTGGCACAAGGTGCATTGTGTGTGCCCGCCCGAAGCTGGTTGGCCCCAGGCTCAGGCAAGGGTGCGTCCCAGGACCGTCCCCAAGTGCATCCCATGTGGCTCTGTCGAGGATGGTGCGCCCCAGGTCCAGACAGTGGTGAATGCCAGAACCGTCCCCGTAGATGCCCACCCGAGGGTTGCGCGCCTCCCCTGGCACGACCTCAGGCACATCGCGAGGCACGTCGACAGACCCGCCCCTGGGCGCGCCCCTGGACGCTCCCTGGGCACGTCCCCGGATTCGCCCTCAGACACGTCCCTGGACGCCTCCCCGGAGACCCGCCCCCCGAGGCGCTCCCAGGCAAGGCCCCGGGATGCTCCCCCCCTCCACGCGCGCCCTTGCAAGGCCTCGGGCAGGTCTCTTGCCTTGACGGGGCCCTGGGCGCGCTCCCAGGCACGCCCTCTGACATGCCCCTGGGCATGTCCCCTGCCGTGGCCCCGAGACACACCCTCTCAGACACATCCCCATAGTTGTCCCCTTCAGTAGGCATCACAATCGCAATGGACATCGACGTCGGTCTAGCTCCGATGTGCAAAATGTTTACGGCATGGTTTCCTATTCTGTCTCGTCCTCCGCCTCTCCTTTCCTCGTCTCCCTCGTTCCCTCGCGCGAGGGATCATG